ATTGGTTGCTAAGGTTAGCGCCCTATTGTTAAGGTTATGGGTTGGTTGCTAAGGTTAGAGTCCTGTTGTTAAGGTTAGTGCTCTGTTGTCAAGCTTATGTATTGGTTGTTAAGGTTAGATTTCTGTTGTTAAACTTATGGAATGGTAGCTAACATTAGCTCCTTGTTGTAATGCTTAGCTCTCTGTTGTTAGGCTTATGGATTAAGAAGATCACGGGGTCGTATTGTTGATGTTATGGTTTTGTTATGAAAGATCATGGACTGGCTGTCAAGGTTATGTGCTGGTTGTCATGCTTATGGATTGGTTGCTAAGGTTAGCGCCCTATTGTTAAGGTTATGGGTTGGTTGCTAAGGTTAGAGTCCTGTTGTTAAGGTTAGTGCTCTGTTGTCAAGCTTATGTATTGGTTGTTAAGGTTAGATTTCTGTTGTTAAACTTATGGAATGGTAGCTAACATTAGCTCCTTGTTGTAATGCTTAGCTCTCTGTTGTTAGGCTTATGGATTAAGAAGATCACGGGGTCGTATTGTTGATGTTATGGTTTTGTTATGAAAGATCATGGACTGGCTGTCAAGGTTATGTGCTGGTTGTCATGCTTATGGATTGGTTGCTAAGGTTAGCGCCCTATTGTTAAGGTTATGGGTTGGTTGCTAAGGTTAGAGTCCTGTTGTTAAGGTTAGTGCTCTGTTGTCAAGCTTATGTATTGGTTGTTAAGGTTAGATTTCTGTTGTTAAACTTATGGAATGGTAGCTAACATTAGCTCCTTGTTGTAATGCTTAGCTCTCTGTTGTTAGGCTTATGGATTAAGAAGATCACGGGGTCGTATTGTTGATGTTATGGTTTTGTTATGAAAGATCATGGACTGGCTGTCAAGGTTATGTGCTGGTTGTCATGCTTATGGATTGGTTGCTAAGGTTAGCGCCCTATTGTTAAGGTTATGGGTTGGTTGCTAAGGTTAGAGTCCTGTTGTTAAGGTTAGTGCTCTGTTGTCAAGCTTATGTATTGGTTGTTAAGGTTAGATTTCTGTTGTTAAACTTATGGAATGGTAGCTAACATTAGCTCCTTGTTGTAATGCTTAGCTCTCTGTTGTTAGGCTTATGGATTAAGAAGATCACGGGGTCGTATTGTTGATGTTATGGTTTTGTTATGAAAGATCATGGACTGGCTGTCAAGGTTATGTGCTGGTTGTCATGCTTATGGATTGGTTGCTAAGGTTAGCGCCCTATTGTTAAGGTTATGGGTTGGTTGCTAAGGTTAGAGTCCTGTTGTTAAGGTTAGTGCTCTGTTGTCAAGCTTATGTATTGGTTGTTAAGGTTAGATTTCTGTTGTTAAACTTATGGAATGGTAGCTAACATTAGCTCCTTGTTGTAATGCTTAGCTCTCTGTTGTTAGGCTTATGGATTAAGAAGATCACGGGGTCGTATTGTTGATGTTATGGTTTTGTTATGAAAGATCATGGACTGGCTGTCAAGGTTATGTGCTGGTTGTCATGCTTATGGATTGGTTGCTAAGGTTAGCGCCCTATTGTTAAGGTTATGGGTTGGTTGCTAAGGTTAGAGTCCTGTTGTTAAGGTTAGTGCTCTGTTGTCAAGCTTATGTATTGGTTGTTAAGGTTAGATTTCTGTTGTTAAACTTATGGAATGGTAGCTAACATTAGCTCCTTGTTGTAATGCTTAGCTCTCTGTTGTTAGGCTTATGGATTAAGAAGATCACGGGGTCGTATTGTTGATGTTATGGTTTTGTTATGAAAGATCATGGACTGGCTGTCAAGGTTATGTGCTGGTTGTCATGCTTATGGATTGGTTGCTAAGGTTAGCGCCCTATTGTTAAGGTTATGGGTTGGTTGCTAAGGTTAGAGTCCTGTTGTTAAGGTTAGTGCTCTGTTGTCAAGCTTATGTATTGGTTGTTAAGGTTAGATTTCTGTTGTTAAACTTATGGAATGGTAGCTAACATTAGCTCCTTGTTGTAATGCTTAGCTCTCTGTTGTTAGGCTTATGGATTAAGAAGATCACGGGGTCGTATTGTTGATGTTATGGTTTTGTTATGAAAGATCATGGACTGGCTGTCAAGGTTATGTGCTGGTTGTCATGCTTATGGATTGGTTGCTAAGGTTAGCGCCCTATTGTTAAGGTTATGGGTTGGTTGCTAAGGTTAGAGTCCTGTTGTTAAGGTTAGTGCTCTGTTGTCAAGCTTATGTATTGGTTGTTAAGGTTAGATTTCTGTTGTTAAACTTATGGAATGGTAGCTAACATTAGCTCCTTGTTGTAATGCTTAGCTCTCTGTTGTTAGGCTTATGGATTAAGAAGATCACGGGGTCGTATTGTTGATGTTATGGTTTTGTTATGAAAGATCATGGACTGGCTGTCAAGGTTATGTGCTGGTTGTCATGCTTATGGATTGGTTGCTAAGGTTAGCGCCCTATTGTTAAGGTTATGGGTTGGTTGCTAAGGTTAGAGTCCTGTTGTTAAGGTTAGTGCTCTGTTGTCAAGCTTATGTATTGGTTGTTAAGGTTAGATTTCTGTTGTTAAACTTATGGAATGGTAGCTAACATTAGCTCCTTGTTGTAATGCTTAGCTCTCTGTTGTTAGGCTTATGGATTAAGAAGATCACGGGGTCGTCGTATTGTTGATGTTATGGTTTTGTTATTAAAGATCATGGACTGGCTGTCAAGGTTATGTGCTGGTTGTCATGCTTATGGATTGGTTGCTAAGGTTAGCGCCCTATTGTTAAGGTTATGGGTTGGTTGCTAAGGTTAGAGTCCTGTTGTTAAGGTTAGTGCTCTGTTGTCAAGCTTATGTATTGGTTGTTAAGGTTAGATTTCTGTTGTTAAACTTATGGAATGGTAGCTAACATTAGCTCCTTGTTGTAACGCTTAGCTCTCTGGTGATGTTATGGTTTTGTTATTAAAGATCATGGACTGGCTGTCAAGGTTATGTGCTGGTTGTCATGCTTATGGATTGGTTGCTAAGGTTAGCGCCCTATTGTTAAGGTTATGGGTTGGTTGCTAAGGTTAGAGTCCTGTTGTTAAGGTTAGTGCTCTGTTGTCAAGCTTATGTATTGGTTGTTAAGGTTAGATTTCTGTTGTTAAACTTATGGAATGGTAGCTAACATTAGCTCCTTGTTGTAATGCTTAGCTCTCTGTTGTTAGGCTTATGGATTAAGAAGATCACGGGGTCGTATTGTTGATGTTATGGTTTTGTTATGAAAGATCATGGACTGGCTGTCAAGGTTATGTGCTGGTTGTCATGCTTATGGATTGGTTGCTAAGGTTAGCGCCCTATTGTTAAGGTTATGGGTTGGTTGCTAAGGTTGATCTCTAAAGCAGTTAGTGGGTTTCTAGCTGTATTAAATGCTTCCATAGTAGATTATGTTTCCAAGACAGCCAGTATTATCATCTGTCTCCTCGTTATTCCCAGCCACCACGCTTTAATTAACCCTCATCCCTTCCCCTGTATCCATGACAAGACCTTTCGACGAAGCCATCAATCTTCACATCACCGCCATTTTCTCCCCATCCCAGCCCCATTAACAACTACACGACCTTCGTTTCGAAACCAGAAGGATCATGTCTCACGATGATAGCGCGTGTATACATTGCCATGGCTCGGGGCATATCTCCCGGGATTGTCCTCATGGTCTTGTAGCAAACAGGGACCCACGATTTCTCCCCGTTCCAGATAACGTCGCCCGCAACATTCAGGAGCTTAGCTCATTCGCTCTCCTCACTATTGAGGTGGGTCTGCCATCTTTGGACGAGCTCAGAGAGATGCTAGGGTATCGCTTCGACGTCTGGGATTGGACCTATGAGATCAAGCTGGTATCTATAAATAGGTTCATGGTTAAATTCCCCTCTGATGAGCTACTAGATCAAGCCGTCCAGCTCAGTCCTGTAAATCTTGGGTCCTTCGTGGGCAGATTCAGGCTTTGGCGGGAGGACCTCAGGCTAAGAGCATTGCCGTACCCCATGTTTAGGTGGATCCGCCTCTTCAATCTCCCCTACCACCTCTGGGAGTTGGAGTTCCTCCAATCACTGTTCGAGGGCATCGGCCAATGCGTGTACTGCTCCGCTGACGTCACCACGAAGACAAACTTCAGAGACTGCAGGGTGCTGCTAGAGATTAGGGAATATTCGGATATCCCTAAGAGGATTAGGTTTCGTTACACCTCTCCCATGGACCGTCGTCTGATGGAAGGTTTCGTCGTCACTCAGCTTGTGGGTGGAGACCGTGAGCAGCAGGCAAACAATGAGCAAGGTCCCAACGACATGTCCGTTGACCAACCTCAAAGCCAGCAACCGCAGCCTTCCCGCGCCGACCCGGAATTGATTGAAGTGTCTTGGGACGGCAGGCAAATGACGGTGGAGAAAGAGCTCTGGCAACGATTTCTCCGGGCCCAAGGTGTTGGGCCGTCTACCCTTCCTCGCGATAGGGGTTCCTACCACGATCGCGCTTCGAGCAAGGGGAGCGGGGGAGGAGCAGTCGGCCCCTAGGTTGTCTTTTATTGTAAATTACCAAATGTTTTGCTGAACTTGATGATGATACGCTCTATTAACTACCTATTAATATGTTTCTGCTAATATAGTGTGTTGTTAAGCTTTTGTGTTTGTTGATGAGTTTACGGTTTTGTTATTGAACTCATGGATTTGTTGTTAATGTTATCCCTTGGGGATCTAGCATATCGTAAACTATTGGCGGACAAATGCAGAAATCTTTTCGAATTTAGTTTGGTTGCATTTGAAGCACAAGTTAGCAGAATCTTGCGATGTTGTTAAGCTTTGCTGTTTGTTGTTGAGGTTACGGTTTTGTTGTTGAACTCATGGGTTTGCTGTTAATGTTATCCCTTGATATCAACCTTATAATAGTTACTTGTACATTGCTATTAACAACAAAGAATTGTAATATATCATTCACAGATCAACCTTATATTGTTTATATTTACCTTTTAATATTTACATGTATATTGTTAGTAACACCAAAGAAATGTAATATATCATTTACAAAAAATCTACATCTCAACGTCATCATCGTCAAGTTTTCCCACCTCTTTTTTCCTCTTCCTGCCTTCAATCAGTAAGTACGCTGCTAGCTTCGCACGAACCACCCATGTGTTATGCTCTTCGGGCGTGACGTGCAGGACATCTCTACCTTCGGTAATCGCTTGTACGAACTGGTAGACATAGATCCCACAGTCATACCTGCACACAACCACAAGGAAGCATTGAGACCATTGTTGCTTTCAATCAAAACATAACAACAAATTCGTAACCTTAACAACCAGTTTCCAACAATGAATACCAACAAGGGTTCCGGCAAACTTACGATCCCTTTTGCTCCTCGCATGGAACTTTGATTGGGTCGAATACGCTGCGCAATTGGTTCTCATTGAAGCCAGCTTTAATGTAGTTGAAGGCTTTGACGATATTGAGCACAGGGTCCCAATGTCCAGATCTCTCCTTCAAGGAGTCGTAATGCCTGGCAATATCATTTTCGACATCAAACTCCAGAAGATGCCAATGATCGCCCTGGACAATGGGAACTAAGAGGTTAGTACACCCTTCATCGACCAAGCGTTTGATGTAGATATCATGCAGCTCTTGGTAATCTGGTTTCAGCACATGTATCTGGTGCTGCAATAAAGAATTAACCCGATCAGGTTCCTTTTAACATAGATTATGTGCTGATAGTTAGGAGTACGCCACGCCAGACATAAACTTACACTAAACCAAACAGGGACTACGCCGAATTTTATACTGGACGATGCTCTCTGATTTTCACGAACTAAATCAAGCAGCGTATCAACAAGCTATCATAAGTTGGCAACAAGTAATTAATAATAGTATTGTTAAATATGCTAATGAATAAATACCAATCGAAAATCTTACTGAATCATCCAGTCGCCCACCGCGTAATATATTGAGGATCTCAAGCCGGGTAATAGACCCTGCTGATCCCTCGTACACTTTAATAAAACTGCAAACAGGGAAAAAAACAAAAATAATAGTTAGCAACTAACAATTAGCAGCAAGAACAAATCAAAAACTATAACGAAAAACCCTTAACCTAAACAACAAATCAATAACCATAACAAAAAACCCGTAACCATAACAACAAACACGTAACCTTAACATCAAATACGTATCCTTAACAACTACCACATAACCTGCACAACAAATCAATAACTATAACAAAAAAACCCTTAACCTAAACAACAAATCAATAACCATAACAAAAAAACCCGTAACCATAACAACAAACCCGCAAACTAAACAACAAACGTAAATACTTGAGATGTGAGGTAAATACTTACTTGTTACATCTACAAATGCAAAAATGGTTAAGAGCTTTTTGCTCCTCTTCCGTCAGTAGCGCGGCAACGTCTGCTGACACCTTATAGTTATGTACAAATGTGTCCTTGTCGCCCAAAAACTTGATGATGAAGCCATCTGGAAAGGGAATCCCCTCGTTCAGCTTATCTCTGTACATTTCTTCTTCTGAACTCATAGGGGAACTCATGTGTTTTTCCCAGATAGAGTGGGGGTCACTTTGTAGCCGAGCAGGAGCCAACTCTGCATTGTTTTCCTGCACCTGCGCTTCCTCCTCCCCACCCACTTCTATTATAGCCTTGTCCCCTATGTTGTCTTTTTCTTTCTTCTTCTTCCCTTCAGTGTAAGGGGTGACTACCCACTTGGAAGGCTTCACCGATCTTTTGCATCTCTTCCGTTTAGGGGGTGCAGCAGCGGCCATCTTCCCGCGTGCCCCCGTTGCACCCCTCTTTCTCTTATTCAAAACCTTTGAAAACACAATAGGAGCATCTTCGTCATCAGTTGATGTCTCTTCTGCTGGTGGAGGGGCATTCTCTGATTGCTTTATTTCCATCCTAGTGTCCTCCCGCAGAGTGTCTGATTCCAAACAACCCATTCGAAGTATAAATATTAAGAAAACATAGCCCCTTCTATCTAAACTTAACAATTTCATAGTAAACCTAACAACTGATGCCTAAACACATGGTGAAAAAGTTGCTAACCTATACAAGTTTGCGTCTCCCCATCACCTGCAGAAGGGACTTCAACCGCCGGCGTTATTTCCCTTCCAGTGCCCTCGCGTTGAGTGCCTGTTTCTGATAATATTCAGAGTATAAACAATAAAAAGCTTAACAACCAATACGTAGACATAACAACCAATCTCTAACATATAGTACAAAAGCAAGCTAACCTGTACAAGTTAGTAGCTCCTTCGCTGGCGGGGACACCTTCTCTCCCTCGTTTATTTCTGCCTCAAGGGCCTTGTCAACAGCAGATGCCTCTGGTGGAGGTAATTCTCCTGGCGGAGCATCTTCACTCTCCTTGTGGATATCAGAAAACAATGGTTGTGGAGAGGCCCTCCCTGTTGGAGGGGCCTCGCTCTCCTTATTAGCTTCATCAAATAATAATGATTTATTGACATCCCCATCGTACTGTACATCAATGCCACCCACGGTGCCTGGAGTGTCTGATTCAAAAAATAAACACAAATGAGCTTAGGTACTTCATTGTCAAAAAAAACATAGCATCAGTTACATAACCTTAAAACTAACCAAGATACTTAACAATCAATCTCCAACCTTGGCAATAAATCCCTGACCTTAACATTAGATACGTAAAGTTAACAATACATTCTTAACCTTAACAATAAATCCCTAACCTTAACATTAGATCAGTAAAGTTAACAATACATTCTTAACCTTAACAATAAATCCATATACTTATCAATCAATTTTTAACTATAACACGCAAACGTAATTGCAAGCCACATCTAACCTGTACAAGTTTGCGGCTCCATCAATGGGCTGGACACCAATCCTGTAGGGCTCTTATCCTTGTATACAGAGAGGGTTCCGGATCGTGCTTCGCTTAGTTCCTCTCTCAGTCTTCTATTTTGAGCAGACAGCTTAGCCACCTTCACAGAAAGAGCACTTATCTTTACACGGTCTGCAGCAATCATACCCTTGAATTTATTCTCGTTCTCGCGGCGTAATGATTCGTTCATTGCCGCGATGCTCTTCCAGTAGATAACTTGCTGAGGCCAATCCATTTGCTCAACTGCATCATTTGGCTGCTCGGCGTCTTCATCAATATCCTGTGGCATCACATATGCAACGGACAGGTAGAGTACTATTAAAAGGATTAATTAATTCAAAAACAAATAAAATCCACGATTGCTAAGTTCTTACAAGTGCATCAATTGGGATGTCGTCATCTTCTTCTCTCCTCTTCTTCTTGTGAAGAAGGTCTATTGGGCCACGAGCCCTGCCGGCGTCTACTGCAGCCGGACCCTTAATCCTCCTCTTCTCTCTCTCTCTCCTCTTCTCTTTCTCTATCCCCTGCTCCTTCCCCCAAAAACCTCCCTCGATTCTTTGAAGTTGTCCATGTTGCTGTGGAAGCTTTATCGTAGCTTTGCTTGCTTTCGCAACAACAGTGGCCAATCTCAAAGAACCAGCAACGTGCCCAAGTCTCACCCAATTTGTCAGGGGAGGCCTCACCGTACAACCAAGTGCTGGCTTCTTGATGCCGGTGAGTTCATAATACCACAACTGCACATTAGAGATATAAAAACTTAACAAACACCTTCATCCGTAACAATTAATAAAGTAACCCTAACAATAAAAACGTAACCTTAACAACCAAACCGTAATATTAACAACCAAACCGTAACCTTGACAACGAAACTGTAACATTAACAACTAAACCCTAACCTTCACAATCAGTAAAAAACATGATTACTTACACAAACTAGAGGGGTACACCCTTGCAGATATAATGTCGTCTTCCCTGGCTCAGGACCCTTCAGTGCCCTCTCTATCGCGTCAGATGTCTCACTGAATATATAGGTCCCCCAAGCAGTGTTGTTGACCTGTTCGATGCTGTCGACGTACTTGAATAAATGCCTAGGAACGCCGGAAACACTGCTTGGACACCAAATCATGCTCAGCTGATAGAGGATCTGTAGCAGGACAAAGTCCTTCACATCTCGGCGATCAGAAGATAGTACCAGCTTCAAGAGCAGGTCCTCCACATTGCGTCTGGTGGGGCCTCCTTTGGGGGGAGCTATACTGCTGGAACCCCCCGTCTCGGGTTTGTCAAAGAACCTGGACCAAATCCTATTTTTCCTGTCCCGATTGTGGTCAACATGAAGCCCCTCATTGGAGAACCATGTATGCTCCATTACCCACTCAAGGTTGAATGAGCATGGGATCTCTTCTCCATCATTCCTATCGGTGAAGACGAATTTTTTGCTCTTCTTGTCCCACTGACTCAAAATGTGCTCAAAGGTGGGAAGATCGACGCCAGGTGGGCCAAATTGGACGTAGTGTCTGAATACACTATCTTCGTAGGCCGCAAAATGCCTTGGCCCCATACGCGTCACCAAATTCTGCATGAAGTCGTGATAGGCACCGAAGCTGGCGGTGGGCCGCAACGTAATAGCTGGCTTTGCCCTTTTTCTACAAAACAAAAACACAAGACGAGAGCATTTTTGAGTATAATCAGTAAACATAACAGCTATGCTGTAAACTTTGCGGGTAAACCAACAACCTTAACAGCAACCACATAACCTTAACAACAAAAACCTAACCTTAACAACCAAAGCCTAACCTCAACAACTAAACAACAACCTTAACAATAAAGGCAGTAACCAACAACCTTAACAACAACCCCACAACCTTATCAACCAAAACCTAACCTTAACAACCAAAGCCTAACCTCTACAAATAAACAACAACCTCAGCAATAAAAGCATAGACCTTGCATGTTAACAGTAACCTCAACAGCTAACAGACACCGTAATTTTGGACCTTCCCACCAGACTAAGAGCATTATCAATCAAACCGTAACCTTAACAACATAAAACTTGCGGTAAAAATTACCTTTTGGGTGCTGCCACGTGCTTCTCTTCTTCTCCTCTCTGTAGACCAAGGAGCGCTCTAGTGGCATCGTTGGACGCGCCGGTGGTGCCGGTGCTGCCCTCTAGACCTTCGCGTGGGCCTACACTTAAATTTTGAGGCGGGCTTCTGGGATGAGAATGGCTGGTTGCGATGTCCTCTAGAACATCACCAATCGCAGCCCGAGCTTCAGATTCAGCCCGCACTGCAGTTGTCTGGGCTCTTTCTGAGATTTCGAACCGCTGGGCGTAATCGCTTTCGCTGTGGTCGGCATTGAGGTTGGCTTTGGGGGTTGAATCGCCGGCCATTTTGATCCCTTTGCTTTGATTCGGTTTGAGTTGGGGTCGGTTGATTTAGGGCTAGGGTTTTGAATTGGGTTTCTGGAGTCGGTTTGCTTGCAGAAGAGAGAGATGACAGGGTACGGACGAGGAGGTAACTCATAACGGGGAATTTTAAACGTAAGGGTATTTTGGGCATTTCGAGCGGGGTTTAAACGGCGTTACGCCTGGGGATTGGTTTTGGGGGCTGGAAGAAAATCGGGGGCGGTTTTGGGGGTAAAAGGAACGTTGAAAAGGTCTTGGGGGGCCAGAGCACGTTCTGTGTTGTTTTGGGGGCTGGAAGCAATTTTCCCAAAAAAAAATCACACAATGGTCCCCAGGGCTTGTTGATTTTTCTTTTAAAATAATAATAAAGATGGTTGTTGGTACAGTCACCATGATAGCAACCAAATCTTTTAAAGATTTCATTGTCTTAGTCCCTTACATCTTTAACATTTGAAACTAGGCCCTGTAATCATTATAAATTTATAATTGCTATCCGCAACCCTTCAAAATCTTATAAGTTGTTTTAGATAAATGATTCGAGATTGCTACCGTTTGAGTTGAAGAAATGTTCTCTTTTTTTTCTTTTTTCTTTTTTCTTTTCTTTAAGAAAAAGTACAAGGTCAAAATCCTCCACCTGTTTAATTTGTTGGAGAATTTAAGTCTCTCCGTCTACTGCGATGTGCGCAACTCGGAAGTCAACCACAATCAATAAGATATAAATAACCACAATCAAGAAGAAATAACACTGAGATTTACATGGTTCTGTAGACCAACTTTGACCTACGTCCACGGGGCAACAATACGAGAAATCCACTATGTATCAGATACATAATCAACTCTCCTATTCTCTCAAAAGCCCTTTTCTTACAATCTTTTGAACGGACAAAGACTGTGAAGCCCTCTTCCAATGATGTAATCTTTTGCACGGACAAAGACTACGAAACCCTCGCCTCTCGCACAATATTCTTGAATCAGGTTACATCCTCTACTAACCCTAGATTACAAGAATATTAGCTCTCTCTCGTCTGCTTGGTTTTTCCTCTAATAATAGAAGAATATATATAAGAAAACTAAAATTCTATCTCTAGCCCACCTTAATAATTAGAATAAGATTCAAACTTCAAATCATGATGAGATCCAATCACCTAATCATGATAGATCTCTAACCCGACCTAATTCTCATGAAGTTATACAAAGAATCAAAGACATAATCCCAACAATCTCCATATTGAATTTGATTCCCAAGCCACCTCAAAGATCTATCATTGCTGTCTTGAAACTTTACCTCTCCTGCTAGCGTTTCTATTCCTTTCGCACTTCAAATCGAAGCACATGCACTCTAACTGGGACATCTCATGACCCTCGCTATCATCTGCTTTACCGTGGCGCCTCTAACTCTCTTGTGTACACCAAGAGATCTTCGCCACCTCTGACATTAGAAGCAAGTCAACCATGTGCGTCCTCTCGAACTGAACATGACAGTAACATTGCCCTATCTACAATTAGATCTTCTTTTCCTTTTTCTCCATCTTGATTCTTGTAACGTTACCGATCTTCACTTTTGTACGACGTTTATCTTGCGAACTCGCTCCCGGATCTATCATCGTGGCTCTGATACCACTTGTTAGGAAATTTTAGTCTCTCCGCCTACTGTGATCTGCGCAACTCGGAAGCTAACAACAATCAACAAGATATAAAATAACCACAATCAAGAAGAAATAACACCGAGATTTATGTGGATCGATCGACCAACTTCGACCTACGTCGACGGGGTAACAATACGAGAAATCTACTATGTATCAGGGAGAACCACAAAGGAACCACTCGACTCTCGTCTCTCAATCTTTCAACCTCACATACATAATCAACTCTCATATTCTCTCCAAAGCTCTCTCCTTACAATCTTTTGAACGGACAAGGACTGTGAAGCCCTCTCCTAATAATTTAATCTTTTGTACGGACAAAGACTATGAAACTCTCGCCTCTCGCACAATATTCTTGAATTAGGTTACGTCCTCTACTTACCCTAGATTACAAAAATATTGGCTCTCTCTCATCTGCTTGGTTTTTCCTCTAATAATAAAATAATATATATAGGAAAATCAAAACCCTATCTCTAGCCTACCTTAATAATTAGAATAGGATTAAAACTCCTAATTAGGATAAGACTCAATCTTCTAATAATGATAGATATCTAACCCTATCTAATTCTCATAAAGTTATACAAAGAATCAAAGACATAATCTCAATAATCTCCACATTAGATTTGATTCCCAAGCCACCTTGAAGATCTACCATTGCCATCTTGAAACTTTACCTCTCCTGTTAGCGTTTCTATTCTTTTCGCACTTCAAATCGAAGCACCTGCACTCCAACTGGGACATCCCATTACCCTTGCTATCATCTGCTTTATCGTGGCGCCCCTACCTCTCTTGTGTCACCAAGAGATTTTCGCCACCTCTGACATTAGAAGCAAGTAAGGGTGTTATCGAAGCGGATACGATTCGGATATGACGTTTACCATATCTATATCTGCTTTTTATAAATGGATACGGATATGGATACGGATACGGATCACCCTCAGTAAGAAAAAACCTTAACCATATCCGTATTTATCGGAAACGGATACGATTCGGATATTTGAGAATCGGATCGGATATGATCATGGATAATTGAAAACTAATATTGAGCATAAATTTATTAGACAAATCTTCATCCAAAATCTTCAGTAGCACAACCCAACTAAAACAATAGTGTCAGGAATTATAACCAAACTACAACAATCATATCCAGAATTTCAAAGGTCTATGAATTGAAAATTGAAGGCAAAAAAGTTCAGACAACATTCAACATTTCACAATATTCAACATTTAACAAAAAGTTCATACCACAAAACAATCTCCAAACCATTATCTGATAACAATACATCAACTGACACATTTAGGTTTTTAATTTTTCTTTCCCACATAAACGTTTTCAGTGAAGCAATATCCATATTACAATAGACATGTGATAGGCCACACCAAAATGAAGCTCATCGGACACAGTTAGCAATAGCAATTTACCAAATGAAATAAAATAATTGGAGCCCATAACATTTCTCATCGAGGATTTGTTTACATACGTAAAATCATCTTTCCTAAGATGGTCTGGATGAAAAAACATCCATTATTATCATCAGTTACCATCTATCTTTTCACCACATTGAATCCAGAAGATTTTTCAAGAACTAATGCTATCACCTTCTAAGAGAAGAATATTATTATTTTCAACTGTCATGCCTACTATTGATACTGAATGCTCAACTACGAACAAATCAAAGCTCAGCTACCAACAAATCACAACTATGTTTGAGAACTGACAAAAATTGAAGAGTCATTGGATGAATGGTCCCAATTTGTTCTTGGCCCAAACAAACTCACAATCAGATGATAATAACATAGTTTATAAATTTATATCTTACCCACGTGGTTGAGGGCGGCCTGAGGAACAAGGGGATCGTCGGCGGCGACAGGAACAAGGGGATCAGCGATGGCCTAAGGAGCAAGGGGATCGTTGGTGACCTGAGGTTAAGGGCTGCCTGATGTTGAGGCAGTGGGCTAAGGTTGAGGGAGTGGGCTGATGTTGAGTGAGCAAGGGGATCGTTGGCTGAGGAACAAGAGGCCGCCTGAGGTGTAGAACTAGAGAACTGGAGAGTGGAGGCGGGTTAGGTGAAGGCCTGAGGAAGAAGGGGCTGCCTGAGGAACAACTGAACAAGGGGCTGAGGGTGAGGGCCTAGGGTTTTTTAATTTTTTTCTATTTACTTTTGGTTTTGGGTTAGCGGGTTTGTAACTATAAATTTGGGATCCGATTACCCGGATCACTATTACATTGCAGATATCTGTATCCGCAACCCTCATATCCATTATCGAATCTATATATGGAAAAAAAAATCCAAAATCATATCCGTATCCGTTATCGTATCCGCCCGGTTTTAAAATTAGCCTATCATATCTGCATCCGTTCGGATACGGATGCGGATCGGTTCGGATATATCCGAAATATTTGGCACCCCTAGAAGAAAGTCAACCATGCGTGTCCTCTCAAACTGAACATGACAGTAGCATTGCCCTATCTGCCATCAGATCTTCTTTTTCTTTTTCTTTTTCTTCATCTTGATTCTTGTAACACCGTCGATCTTCACTTTTGTACGACGTCTATCTTGCAAACTCGCTCCCGGATCCATCATCATGGCTCTGATACCACTTGTTGGAAAATTTTAGTTTCTCTACGTACTACGATTTGTGCAACTCGGAAGCCAACCACAATCAATAAGATATAAAATAACCACAATCAAGAAGAAATAACACCGAGATTTACGTGGTTCGGTCGACCAACTTTGACCTACGTCCACGGGGCAACAATACGAAAAATTCATTATGTATCAGGGAGAACTACAAAAGGAACCACTCGTTTGTCAATTTCTCAATCTCACATACATAATCAACTCTCATATTCTCTCTAGAGCCCTCTCCTTAAAATCTTTTGAACGGTCAAAGACTGCGAAGTCCTCTCCTAATGATGTAATCTTTTAGACAGACAAAGACTACGAAACACTCGCTTCTCACACAATATTCTTGAATCAGGTTATGTCCTCTACTTACCCTATATTATAAGAATATTGGCTCTCTCTCATCTGCTTGGTTTTTTCTCCAATAATAAAAGAATATATATATGAAAATAAAAACTCTATCTCTAGCCTGCCTTCCTAATTAGAATAGGATTCAAACTCCTAATCATGATGAGTCTCAATCTCCTAATCATGATAGATCTCTAACACTATCTATTTCTCATAAAGTTATACAAAGAATCAAAGATATAATCCTAACAATCTCTACCTTGGATTTGATTCATAAGCCACCTAGAAAATCTACCATTGTCATCTTGAAACTTTACCTCTCCTGCTAGCGTTTCTATTCCTTTTGCACTTCAAATCGAAGCATCTACACTCCAACTGGGACATCCCATGACCCTTACTATCATCTGCTTTATCGTGGCACCTCCATCTCTCTTATATACACCAAAATATCTTCGCCACCTCTGACATTAGAAGCAAGTCAACCATACGTGTCCTCTCAAACTGAACATGACAGTAGCATTGTCCTATCTGCCATCAGATCTTCTTTTTCTTTTTCTTCATCTTGATTCTTGTAACACCGCCGATCTTCACTTTTGTACGACGTCTATCTTGCGAACTCACTCCCGGATCCATTATCATGGCTCTGATACCACTTGCTAGGAAATTTTAGTCTCTCCGTCTACTGCGATCTACGCAACTTGGAAGCCAACCACAATCAACAAAATATAAAATAACCACAATCAAGAAGAAATAACACCAAGATTTATGTGGTTTGGTCGAACAATTTTGACCTACGTCCACGGAGCAACAATACGAGAAATCCACTACATATCACGGAGAACCACAAAAGGAACCACTCAACTCTCGTCTCTCAATCTTTCAACTTCACATACATAATCAACTCTCATATTCTCTCCAAAGCTCTCTCCTTACAATCTTTTGAATGAACAAAGACTGCAAAGGCCTCTCCCAATGATGTAATCTTTTGTACGGACAAAGACTATGAAACACTCGCCTATCGCATAATATTCTTGAATCAGGTTACGTCATCTGCTTACCCTAGATTATAAGAATATTGGCTCTCTCTCATTTGCTTGGTTTTTCCTTCAACAATAGAAGAATATATATATATATAAAACCAATCTAGCCTACCTTCCTAATTAGAATAGGATTCAAACTCCTAATCATTATGAGAATCAATCTCCTAATCATGATAGATCTCTAATCCTATCTAATTCTCATAAAGTTATACAAAGAATTAAAGATATAATACCAACATAATTCAATTAGGAAATGTAAAAACCGTACACAAAAGGAAAAGAGAGAAATATTCGTTCTAAGTTAATTTTTGGACATTAAACATCAGTTATATCCTTATGTTTAATATACTTCTATACTCATATTCGTTTAGGTTTTTACATGAAAATCACCTAAATTTTAGTCTAAATTAATATTTACTATTTATTTATTTTTGATGTTAACCACATATACTTGTTTACATATTTTCAATATCATACCTAACATTGATTTGGTTTTAAAAATATATGAACTACCCTCATCTTAAATGCATGAACTACAAGGGTTTCATAATTAATTATAAAGTTAAGTTTTTTATGATATTACTCCTCTAAATCTTTCATATTATGAAAGTAGACCCTACCTCTTCCCCCCCCCCCCAAAATTTCAAACCCAAATCTCCAAACTCCTAGCCCAATCCCCAAACCCTAATCTTACCTCCCCTCAATCCTCTCTCCTTCTCTCCTTCCAATCCGTAAAAAAACCTTGCCTTAATCCTCCCCCACATCCTATAATCTCCCTTCCCCTTAATTTGCTCTCCTTCTCACACTTCAGTCTAAAAAAATCCCTTAAATTCTAGTTGAGGAGAAAGAGATCAATGATCTCGACCTCCCCATAATCCTTTCTAGCAAGGACTACATTGATTTGGGGGACTAATGATCTCGACCTCAACATAACCCTCTCTAGTGAGGACGACATTGATTTGGTGGATTAATTTCAAAATATGATAGATTTGCGTGGTTTATATCAATATATGAAAGATTTGGGAACTAATATTGAGAAAACCCTTATTTTTCGTAATTAATTGGGACATGTGTACTTTGCACATGTTTGGGTGAGGGATATTTTAGAATTTCACGTTTTTTTAGCTAAAAAGTTGGTTCGGTGTGACATTGAGAAGATATAATAGGTGTTTACCTAAAAAACACTGAATATGGTAAGTATCAATTTGGACTAAAATTAAAATGGTTTTCAAGTAAAACTCAGCTTGTTTACATTTGAAACTTACTTAATACCCATACCTTGTAAGGTGCACCTTCTTCTATAATGGTCAGCTTCCCCTTCTACCCCTTCTAATCCATTTGGAAAGGATGAAACGGTAAACAACCATCACTTATTCGGTCAAGGTTAGCACGTCAAAAGGAAATTTTGACAATTAAAGGACTAATTCAGAACATCTTATATGATTTAGGAACCTAATAGCAAATTTCAATATCAATGATGACTTAGTAAGGTTAAGATGAAGTAACGAGAAACTCTCTGGGGAGGAGTCGGATAAGTGCTGATTCGAGGCCTGAAGCTTTGATAATCAGTCAATAACCCAATATTGTCATGTCAGGTCCTTCTAAAGTACATGGCACCCTCTTATTTATTAGGGTACACGGCAATAAGAACGTCTCAAACGAAAACGCAAAACATACCCAAACGATCTTAGAATCATAGAATAAAACTAGCAAACACGAATTCAATCACAATACTCATAGATATAACGTGGTTCACTCTTACGGAGCTACTCCATGATGCAACAACGACGACCAATTCCTTTATATTCTTTTCGAGGTTACAAAGAAAAAAGAAAAAAGATAACACCCTCTCTTGATCAAGATGCTCTCCAAGAATTCTCACAAACTCTCTCTCAAGATCTCTTAATGATATTACTTATATCTGTATCTTTCTCTTTCTCTCTCTGTTGCTGAGATTCCTTACAAATCAAACTTAGGGGGGTATTTATAAGTTTTCTCATCAGAGTAGGTGAGCACTATTTGGGGTAGGTGAACACTGTAGGACGGGGGTAGGTGAACATTGCTGACTCTTTGATGAGAAGGCTATCCACTCTCTCAACATTATTCTTGTACAAAATAGCTAATGTGCTAGATCATTATTCTTAAAATCTCTCATCATGATATAATGATGAATGAAAATTTACTAATTTGCATATGAGACATGGATCGTTACAAGTTTGTTTATGTTAGAACATTAAACTATTTAACTCTCAAATCTCACCATAACTTTGAAGTTTTAGGATAGTGATGGAGATCTTTCACACGACATCATGACAAACTAGATCCAATTCCAACTGGCCATGAACTTAAAGTACATTTTGAAAATTTCATATTTCGTGAGTTCAACTAGGGTTTAGCCCATAAAAATGATATTCAAATTGCGGGGACATATTAGAGCATAAAACTATAACCCTCATCCCTCATTAAAACTTTAGTGTTTAGATGTAATACACCTTTGACACAGTAGCAGGGAAACCCAAGTTCAACAACTCCCACTAGTCATGAAACTTCAAGGAGACTTTGGCACTTCATTTTGAGCAAGAGGTGCATCACAATTATGATTCCAAATATCCATACTGAAATCCTCAAGTGACAATATGTTTTGTACCACCTGATCCATTGGCTGAGTATATGTACAAAAGAGGTCTTCTAGCTCGAGTTCTGTAAAAACACCGAGAGGGTCGTCATCTCTTTCTTTCTCAGGCTGCAAGATTTCTTTGCATGATGACGATGATGAAGAAGAAGAGCCCACATTGTTAGAAGCTAAGCTTGTCCCTTCAGTACTGTTGCATTTATGTTGCATGTTATAAGTTACTTCATATTTTGGAGGATTCTGATCACCGTCATCCTTTTGTTGTACTGTTTTTGTTGCTGAACAGCCTTGGTCTTTGTAATGTGCACATCTGTAGTAGCACCTGCATGCATATAGTTAGTAGGAATAAGTGATTCATAACATTTAGAGGTTACGGATATATTACGGGTAGCTCATTCATTTCTATTGAAGAGACCTAATTAACTTACTCTCTGAATAAAATGAATGATTTTTTTTCAATAAATAAACTTGTTTTCACCATAGAATTCGGAAAGAAAACCTTTGAAATCTGCGACCGGCAATTCCCTTCTGCCCATACTTTCTCCATTGGTAGCCATCATTATGAGGAACAGTGGTCAGAACTGTCCATGAATCAAACTTCTTGCTACAACACAAAATAAGCTAACGATCAGCAAAAAACTAATGCTAGAGGGAAGGAGAGGGAAAAAAAGAGGTTAATTATGCACATAGGCCTCTTGTAATATCGTAATGATATACAGCTTCAAAGGATCTATCTGTCAATATCAAACTTAAAAGAGATAATAAGTAGCACAACGTGATGGCACACGAGAGATCTATACGCAATTAACACGAAAAAGAATTGAACAGCAAGTTACCTTCTCCCATGGCCATCGTCTCCGTCAAGACCACAGAGGGAACAAGTGGGGAGCATGGAGAGAGCGAGGTTCAAAGCTCCGAAAACATCATCAAAGAGGTTGCTGACGCGCTGATCGGAGGAGGACGGATCGGTTGGAGAGAGAGCTAGCAAAATTGCGTGGAGCTGACTCGTGAGCTCGTGTACATGGCTCATCTCTTTGGAGATTGCTTGATGCTCGCATGGCGATGTGCTTCGTCTCGCGCTCTCCATTTTATTTCTTAATTTCCAGGTTTATATTATATCAAGACTGCAGTACTCTCCCTTATATAGCCGTTGGTAACAAATATCTTTTGTCTTCTCTCTTTTTTTTTTTTGTGCAAACAGGGCAAGGGAATTGTACAGAACATAAATGGGGAGGACAGATAAAACGTAAAAGTAGCATTAACTTGAGAGGCACTAGGGGCACACCCTCTACCACACCTCCAACCACACCATCTCTCTCGCTACAGTGCACCGGGCCCACATGAGATTTTATTAAACTCTACCACACCTCCAACCACACCATCTCTCTCGCTACAGTGCACCGGGCCCACATGAGATTTTATTTAATAAAATCTCATGTGGGTCCGGTGCACTGTAGCGAGAGAGATGGTGTGGTTGGAGGTGTGGTAAAGGGTGTGCCCCTATCATTTCTATATTAACTTCTTGGATCAAGCGTCATGATATTACGAGTCTGACATTGTACCCAAAAAATAATGATCATACAACTAGTTGATGAAAAAAATCTACCAATCAAAGTTCATTCTGAAATAATCGTCTTTTCTGTTAGAGCACACAAGATCAACATTATCACGCTGATTAACGAGACGTGATGAGATGTTCTGATGTTAATGTTAAGAGCTCTAAAATTGTTGAATTCGATGGGACGGGAGTGAATTCGAGCAACAGCACTCGAAAAGAATAGAACTTCAAATACTAATGCCTCGTTTTGGTACGTGAGAATGGAGTCAACTGAGAATGGAATAAATGTAGAAATGGAATGGTCATTCACATTCTCATGTTTGAATGCGATTAGAAAAGTAAGTGAGAATATCTTTAAGAATGACGTATCCAGAATATCTTTAAGAGCCTTATCATTTCTATATTAACTTCTTGGATCAAGCGTCTTGATATTACGAGTTTGACATTGTACCCAAAAAATAATGATCATACAACTAGTTGATGAAAAAAATCTACCAATCAAAGTTCATTCTGAAATAATCGTCTTTTCTGTTAGAGCACACAAGATCAACATTATCACGCTGATTAACGAGACGTGATGCGATGTTCTGATGTTAATGTTAAGAGCTCTAAAATTGTTGAATTCGATGGAACAGGATTGGATTCGATGGAATGGGACTCGAAAAGAATAGAACTTCAAATACTACTGCCTCGTTTTGGTATGTGAGAATGGAATCACCTGATAATGGATTAAATGTCGGAATGAAATGCTCATTCACATTCTCATGTTTGAATGCGGTTAGAAAATTAAGTGAGAATATCTTTAAGAATGACGTATCCTGAATATCTTTAAGAGCCCTATCATTTCTATATTAACTTCTTGGATCAAGCGTCATGATATTACGAGTCTGACATTGTACCCAAAAAATAATGATCATACAACTAGTTGATGAAAAAAATCTACCAATTAAAGTTCATTCTGAAATAATCGTCTTTTCTGTTAGAGCACACAAGATCAACATTATCACGCTGATTAACGAGACGTGATGAGATGTTCTGATGTTAATGTTAAGAGCTCTAAAATTGTTGAATTCGATGGAACAGGATTGAATTCGATGGAATGGGACTCGAAAAGAATAGAACTTCAAATACTACTGCCTCGTTTTGGTATGTGAGAATGGAATCACCTGATAATGGATTAAATGTCGGAATGAAATGCTCATTCACATTCTCATGTTTGAATGCGGTTAGAAAATTAAGTGAGAATATCTTTAAGAATGACGTATCCTGAATATCTTTAAGAGCCCTATCATTTCTATATTAACTTCTTGGATCAAGCGTCATGATATTACGAGTCTGACATTGTACCCAAAAAATAATGATCATACAACTAGTTGATGAAAAAAATCTACCAATTAAAGTTCATTCTGAAATAATCGTCTTTTCTGTTAGAGCACACAAGATCAACATTATCACGCTGATTAACGAGACGTGATGAGATGTTCTGATGTTAATGTTAAGAGCTCTAAAATTGTTGAATTCGATGGAACAGGATTGAATTCGATGGAATGGGACTCGAAAAGAATAGAACTTCAAATACTACTGCCTCGTTTTGGTATGTGAGAATGGAATCACCTGATAATGGATTAAATGTCGGAATGAAATGCTCATTCACATTCTCATGTTTGAATGCGGTTAGAAAATTAAGTGAGAATATCTTTAAGAATGACGTATCCTGAATTTATTTTGTTATTTTTATTCCCACCCACGTGGGAATATCGATTTTTTAATAACCCATTCAGATGTAGAAATTAATGAGAAATAGGAATATCATTTCTAGTATCAATAAACACATCATATTTAGTAAACATAAATGAAAAAGTAAAAATTGAAAGATTATCAATGGACTCGCGGGCTTAATTGTCGGAACTTGGAATATACTATAAAATGACCTATAGTACACATATAATGTGAAACTTTGCTACTTCTCACCGGTTGCCTGTTAGAAACTGGCTGCTAGTTCTATCCATATCACTGCAAAATTGCGACTAATAAGTTTTGTTTTATATAAAATATACAACCAATTATAGTGAGTTCAATGTGTAAGGGGGAAAAAATCTTTATGCTTGAGACAGTGATTGATAATGACCTTGAATGGAGACTGATTTAAATGGTTCCACATTAATGCACTGTGTGAATGGAAGCAAACTCATTAGGATTGTATAGTATCGCTTCAGTACTCCATCAATAGTAAATTAGGAAGGTTATAGATGGGTAAATATCAGAAAGCACCCCTTAACTTTGGTCGATTACGGAAAGCCACCCTTAACTTTAGTCGATCATCACAAAACTCCCTGTAACTTTCAGAATTTATCATAAAACCCCTTTTAACTTTGAGATTTTATCAAAAAAAATCCCTAAATTAGGGGCTTAATTACTGGGAAAATCTCAAAGTTAAAAGTGATTTTTTAATAATATCTAACTCAATGGGGGCTTTTCTGATATTTTGAAAGATAAAGAGGGTTTTCTGATAATCAATCAAAATCAAAGGAGGTTTTATGATAGTTAACCTTTTTCTTGATTGACTAGGTATAGAAGACACGTCATGCTCTGCAAAGTTTTTTATTATTAGAGCAGCAGATCTACAGTCAAGTTCCTTTTATTGTACCGACCGCATGCTCATTGACTTTTCATAAGAAACAAAATGAAATTCTTTTTCCTCAATTTTTTTTTTTTGGTTAATGACAGAGTATTACTTTATTCAATTATTGTCTGCGTTGCATAGTCACGACAAATGTTGATAGGATTCGGATCCTCTCCACTAAAAAAAAATAGTGGGGGACAACTACATAATCACAGCCATTGATTATCTAGTTGATGGTTATGATTTTTTTTCTTTTAGTGCAAATTAGGAATGAGTGCAATACATGGGGGTATGGTAAGTGTTAGATTTAGATTGTATCATAACCGTCTACTAAATAATCAACGCTTGAGATTAAAAGTAGTGGTCTCTCCACTACTTTTTTGTAGTGGAGAGAATCCAAATCCATGTTGATATGGGCAAGACATACGAGACCCATATGCTAAAAGTCCAGTATGAATGCACATTGTATTTCTGTCCTCAATCATGATGATCTCATGGTACAACGTCATGATAAAATTGTTCGTGCTACATATATAGATGTCTATCTCAAAGATTGTAATTCACTGAATTGCTTGTATACAACTAAAAGAAATATCTAAGGATGTTTCATAAGCATTTAGAGGGTGCTTGCCTGTTTGGGAGTGCTTTTTTTGTTTTTAAAGCTCATAAACTAAGTGCTCTTTTGGTAACTTTTGACTTTTATCATAAAGATCTTATAAAATTTGTGTGGATAGTAAATTTTTTTGCTTGGTTAAACTTAGCTTATTTTGATGAGCTTCTTGGCTAGTTTTTAAAAAGCTGAGGAACCCTAAATAACTTGTGGCTTAAAAGCTAGCTTATTTGAGATATTAGCAAACATATAGATATAACTAAGGTAGCTTAAAACCTATTTGACCAAAAAATAAGCTCCTCCAAGTACTCTCTTAGTGCATCTTGTTCTTTTCTATCCTGTTGATGGGTAGATTTGACATGTAGACACGGATTGAAGATCTAACCATGGAAACCTTCCAGTTGTGGCATGCACGGTACCTTATGTCATACATGATTGGCTTTGAGCTACATCTGATCCCATTGGATACAAAATTCAATTCAGATAAGCGTCGAGTAACAGCTAAAGTTTAGTAAGTTGGATTTAGATTAGATCCCCTATGAAGCTTGGTACATTTTGAGATAATCTAGAAAATGTTCTGACAATGCAACTTTCAAAAAAAATTCAGATAACCCTCAAAAGTTGAGGCCAAATTGAAAATCAAAGTCTAAAAGTTTTTGAGGATTGAGTAACAATTCTAAACCTTTTAGACTCTGATTTGGCAAGGATTGAAGAATGGATAGAGGGTTTTATCCTTCCTTAATGTTCTAGACGGGTTGATTTGATTAAAGGGATAATAAATCATTTACAAGTTAAATCTTGTTGGATAGCAGGTTCCTAATATGTTTCCTAATTTATTTTGATAATAGGTTATTGGGATTCCTAATCTGTTTTGGTAACAAGTTATTTGGATTTCTCATCTGTTTTGGTAACATGTTATTAGGATTCCTAATCTATTTTGATTTTGGTTTTAGAATTCCTAGTATATTTTTGGTTTTAAGATTTCTATATATATGGAACGTTTTAGAAGAGAAAAGCAGCGAAGTGGATATTTGGAGCACAGAAAAGACGTATTTTCTGAGCTATTGGTTAGAGTTTTGTTTAGAGAGAATTAGAACTTTGTTGGTGAGATTAATTGGTGAGTTTATGTGATTTTATAATCTCAGTTTGTACTCTTCTTCTCTATTAGTGAAAACCTCATCTCCTTCTTGCCCCGTGAATGTAGGCAACTTGTCGAATTACATTAAAATTGGTTGTTTGAGTTTGTGTCGTTATTATGTATTGTTTGGTCTCCTCTCGGCGTTTGTTTGATTTGGTCTCTCGAAGC